CCCCTGGCCTCCCAGCCGGCTGCAAAATCTGCAGCTGGTCGAAGCACCTCTTGTGCACTGGGCACAGCTGTACACACTCGTGCTCCACACTCTGCATCTCCCCACCCTCGTGTCCCGCCCTGATTCCAAGTGGCGGGACTATCTCAGACCTATAGAGGGTGGGGGACCCCGATGGGCCAGTGTGTGCTCCACCTTAATTCCACGGCCCATCGGGGACATCAGTTGGCGGCTCCTTCACGGGCGTGTACCTGGCGCGGTTCACCCCCATCCCGGAAGCCTGTCCCTTTTGTGGCGTGAGGGAAAACCTGGCGCATGCATCTCTCGAATGCGCCAGGGTGCAGCCCCTATTCTGGCTCCTCCAGAACCTCTTATTGAGGTTCTGGCTGCACTTCTCTCCCCACCTTTTCCTGTACGCACACCCCATCCGTGGCCCCACAAAGTCGCGAGACCTCCTCGTCAGCCTACTCCTGGCCCTAGCAAAGGCCGCCATCTATAACCCCAGGAGTAAGATGTTGGACGAGGGGTTCTCTGCGACTGTGGGGCCCATTTCCGCTCCTCCCTCGTGTCACGAATCCGGGCAGAGTTCCTCTGGGCGGCGCCCACTGGCTCCATCCACAGCTTTGAGGAGCGGTGGGCGCTGCCGGGGTTCTCTGCTCGGTGTCCCCATCCAGCTCCCTAGTTATGAACCTTTAGCCTGCACTCCTTGCCCCTTTTGTCATTAGTTGTCCCCAGTAATTAACTGGACACGGGTCCAGTCGTCCCTCCCACAAGGCTTCGCCCGCCCACTCTCCCGTGCTTCAAATAGACTCCAGAGGACGAGCACCCCTTGCCGAGCCCTGTATCCGAGGCTATGTCTACATTGCCGGCTTTTACCGGCAGACAGTATGCTAATGAAGTGCTCGTTAGCATCTGTCACACTGTCATTAGCATATTTTCTGCCCGAGGCTTTTTGCGCAAGAGGGTTTTGCACAGAAACAAGCAGCGTCGATGGATCCGTTTTGTGCAAAACTCCCTTTTGCGCAAGATCCGTGTACCTCCTTTTTTGAGGCATAAGGATCTTGCACAAAAGGGAGTTTTTGCACAGAACGGATCCATCTACGCTGCTTGTTTCTGCGCAAAAACCTCTTGCACAAAAAGCCCTGGGCAGAGAATATGCTAATGACATAGGTAGACATAGCCCGGGAGGCCTGCCACTGAAATACGGGGCCAATCCATTTCCCTTTCCGGGGGCCAGTTACGATTTGGCCCATATGATGTGAGGAGAGGGGTCGAGGAGTCCCAGGAGAGGTGACCAGGCCATTGTATCTTACAGCACATGTCCAGCCTCGGGCACTCTGCACTGTGGGAATCAGCCGGGTCCTCATCACTCTCCTTGCACCCCGCAGATCCACAGACAGCTGGCGCAGAGATATGGCACCGACCCTTTCAAAGACAAGGAAGAGCTCAGGGCCCTGCTTCCTGCAGACACAGACGGCGCGTCCAGGACAGCAGGACCCCTGCAGGGACGGGGGCCAAGGAGCAGAGACCCGAAGGTCCCGGTCCCCTTTCTGCTGCGGGTGAAGCAGACGTTCTCCTGCATCCCCGCCTGTTTTGAAATGAGTCCAGCTGAGGCACGGAGAGGAGGGAAGTGAAGCATTCTGGGAAATACCTAGCGTAACATAGCCAGCTGGCAACACCACGGCCTGCAAAGGATGTCCCTCCTCTTATATGTCGGGGAGAGGTATGGTCTCGTGGAACAAGCTCAGGCCTGGGAGCCAGGAACTCCTGGGTTCCCTTTGAGGTTCTGTAATCTTCCTCTGTGGTCTTGGGCAAGTCACTTAACTTCTGCCTCAGTTTCCCCATCTAACACGGAGGGATTCATTCTGGTGTTTCTGTCTCCCAGGCTGCTAGGAAGGTCGGTTAGTTAATGTGCCCAGGGCACTGAGGGGCAGAGGTGCTAATGGCCGTTCTTGAGTACACAAGACTGTGCCCCAGCCTACTGAACACAACGGATCACAACCACTATGGAGGAGGGGACTTTCCGGCTGCTAAGAGACCGATGCAAAATCCCAGCCGGGAATGGACTTTGACAGTGAATTGTAGCGCTTCAAATAAATACTGCACAGCACCCATGAAAATGAAAGAAAGCCGGGGATAGAAGAGACTTTAACATCAGCAAGGGGTTTCTCTTGTCCCTGGGATTGTATAAGAAGTGTGTGTGTGTGTGTGTGTGTGTGTCAAAGGCCCAATGGCAGGCAACAAGCAGAAATCAGAAGCTACGTCTTTACTGCGACAGAAAATATGCTAATGAATTGCAACTTATGCTAATGAGTCCCTCGTTAGCATATTTTCTGCCAAAAAAACTCGCAGTGAGGCTGTAGCCCAGCGTGAATGGTGTTGTTTTAACAGGGTTGCACTATAATTTCCTCTGATCCTAGTGTTGTCTCCCACAAAGGCCAAAAGATATTTAACACAGGGCCAGGTATTGCTAGAGCTGAATGTTATCCTTTTGTCTGATGACTCTATTCCATACTTGTTTCTCCTCAGTGCAGGGTTGTACGTATGTTTCAGCACAGGGCACAGTTTGATTGGAAAAGGCGGGAGGGCTGATGCTTTGGGAAGACTGGGAGGGAGCAAGGCTCTTTGGAGCCAGCCAGCCAGCCTTTGGGAGAACGTAACGTTCCAGCCACCGACTCCCCTGTGTGGCTACAGCAGAGAGACCAGGACATTCATTATTAAAGCTTATTGCTAATTTATGCGTGCACCCGGCACTTTGCAGAGCGAGGAAAGAGACAATATCTGTCCCGGTCCCTCAGGAAGCTCCATGCACAAGACACTGCGTCAGCAGAGAGCTCCCGGGCATCCGAGGGGACCACGCAGACTTGGGGTTCTGTCTGCGCAGAGTTCGTCGTGGGGGTCAGGGCCTGACCTGGTTCCAGTTGCTTAGGACATTCACGTATCAGTGTGAAAACAACTCCGTTTAGGTGTGTCACCCTTCCCCTTCTGTCTGCCCTCGTGCACAGCTCCTCCCCGGCTGCCATGTCCTGCCCCCCGGCTCCGTCCTGGGGGACACAGTCACCTTTGGACATCCCAGCGGCATTGGTGAGGTGCAATTTCTGAGTGCAGAGCGCGTGGAGAGCCGGGTGTGAAGGTGCCAGGCTGCAGATGAATGGAACAGCGAGTTCTCCTTCGAGTGATTGCTCACGTCCATTCCATGTCCGTGTGTACGTGTTACGTGCACGCTGCATGTACACACCTACACGGAAAGGACATGAGCAACACGTCTCGAAGAACAACAGCTACGAGGTGAGTAACTGTTCTTTCATGCTGCTGTGTCCCTGGGGGCAGACTGCCAGCACTCCCTGCCCCAGGAGCCTGCGTCGCAGACGGACCGTGACTTTCTCCCTGCCACATGGAGTTAACTACCACGCCAACCTGCCCCTTTTGGCCCCGGAGTCCTGCCTCCCCATTACCCAGATAACAGGCCATCACGCGCGTGGCGGCTAGGGCTGGACACCCTGGAGAGCCCTTTGCAAGCAGCAATTGGAATCGGATCGGCCTTCTTAGCTCGCGGGCTCTTTGGTCTGGACAGCCCCGTGCACGCAGCTGCGCTCGGCGTTCCAGCCCGGGAACAGGGCTCCAGCCAGGCGGAGTGCGCGGTGAGCAGGCTGGTTTCTCTGGCTCAGTGCTGAGCAATGCCCTTTCCTGGGGCTGTGGCCATGCTCACGGGGTGAGCTCAGCCTGGGATTCCCCTGCGCGGGTGCACATGCCAGTGCTGGGCCGTGTAGCCGCAACAACGGAGCCGTGCCAGCTCCAACCCGCCCCAAATCAATGGCTATGACCTGGCTGCTGGCCCTGGGCTACCGTGCGTCTGGCTCCAGGAAGTGCCTGCAGGTCTGGGCATGTGAGCAGGGGGAAAGCGCAGCCCGCACCCGTCCGGGAGCTGGAGGCCCTGGGCTGTGCAGCAGCTTGGTGGTGCCGACTGCCCCTTTGTCCAGAGCTCTGTGCCAGGGAAGGGCTCCCCAGCAGCTCGGGGCCGGCCCCAAGCAGAGTCACGTGTGGAAAGCCAGACACGCCCGGCTGGTCTGGCGGAGGTCTGGGCATGTGAGCAGGGGGAAAGCGCAGCCCGCACCCGTCCGGGAGCTGGAGGCCCTGGGCTGTGCAGCAGCTTGGTGGTGCCGACTGCCCCTTTGTCCAGAGCTCTGTGCCAGGGAAGGGCTCCCCAGCAGCTCGGGGCCGGCCCCAAGCAGAGTCACGTGTGGAAAGCCAGACACGCCCGGCTGGTCTGGCGGGAAGCTCCCAAGCGCTGGCACTTCAGCTGCCCCTTCACCCACTGTCCTCTGCCCCCGGGCAGGCCC